AACTCTTTAAACAACTTATGTGATAATGCTTTTGATCTGATTCATATTGACATATGGGGACCTTTTTCTGTGTCTACTGTTGAAGGATACAGGTACTTCCTCACTATTGTCGATGATCACACCAGAGTAACTTGGGTATATATGTTAAGAACGAAGTCTGAGGTTCTAACAATATTTCCTGATTACTTAAAAATGGTGGAGACACAGTATGGCACGGTTGTCAAGGCAGTACGATCAGATAACGCTCCTGAGCTCAAGTTTACTGATCTATTCAAGGCTAAAGGCATCAAAGCTTATCACTCATGCCCAGAGACTCCAGAGCAGAACTCTGTTGTCGAGAGGAAGCATCAGCACATTCTTAATGTCGCTAGATCCCTCATGTTTCAGGCAAAGATGCCACTAGATTACTGGAGAGATTGTATTCTAACTGCCGTTTTCTTGATCAACAGACTTCCGATGCCTCTTCTGAAAAACAGGTCACCATATCAGACTTTAACCTCTAAATGTCCTGATTACAATGGTTTGCGTGTATTTGGTTGTCTGGCTTACTGTTCCACCTCTTCAAAGAACAGAACCAAATTCCAACCTCGTGCAAAAGCATGTGTTTTCCTTGGTTATCCTGCAGGATACAAAGGATATAAATTGCTTGACCTGGAAACTCATTCAGTTCACATTTCAAGGAATGTAGTCTTTCATGAAGATATTTTCCCATTCGCAAAGGAATCCTTCAACACCAATCCCGACTGTTTTGACATTGATACATCTGCAACATCGTCTACCTATGAAAAGGGTGAATGTTCTTAGCGTACGGGGAGCTTTAACCTCCATCCTATAGGCGACAGCGTTCACTCTTCTTCATCAGGGACAGATGAAGTTGCTCCTTCAGACCTTCCAAATACCAACAAACGATCAACAAAGATTCCTGCATATCTACACGACTACTACTGCAATATGACAGAAACAGATATCCCATATCCTATTGCTGCATATATGTCTTACAATAAACTCTCAGAGGATTACAAAGCATATCTATGTTCCGTGACTCTTCATTCAGAACCATCTTCATTCCGAGAGGCCAAGAAATTTGATGAATGGCTCAAAGCGATGAACGAGGAGTTGATAGCCTTGGAACGATCTCAGACTTGGACCATATGCTCTTTGCCAGCTGATAAACACGCCATAGGCTGTAAGTGGGTTTATAAAGTTAAACTTCATGCCGATGGAAGCTTAGAGCGCTACAAAACTCGCCTTGTAGCAAAAGGCTACACACAGGAAGAAGGAGTAGATTTTGCAGATACCTTCTCTCCAGTAGCAAAAATGACGACAGTCAAAACATTGTTAGCAGTTGCAGCTGCAAAGAAATGGAGCCTTGATCAACTAGACATCTCCAACGCTTTTCTGAATGGTGATCTATCTGAGAAAATATACATGAAGCTTTCTCCAGGATATACACCAAAACACGGTGAATGTCTTCCTCCAAATGCAGTCTGTAAGCTTCAAAAATCGCTATACGACTTGAAACAGGCTTCAAGACAGTGGTTCCTCAAATTCAGTAATACTCTTTTGCACCTTGGTTTCAAGAAATCCCATGCGGATCACACATTATTTGTGAGAAATAATGCAGGCATATACACTGCTGTTTTGGTATATGTCGATGATATTATCATCACCAGTAATAGCACAGAAGATGTGTCTACACTGAAACTAGACCTTCAATCATTTTTCAAGTTAAGAAACCTTGGACCTTTGAAGTATTTTCTCGGCTTGGAGATTGCTAGATCTGCTTCAGGTATATCTGTCTCTCAACGTAAATATACCTTGGAATTGATTGACGAAGCAGGACTTTTAGCTTGCAAGCCATCTACTATTCCTATGGAGCCAAATATTAAACTCTGTTTAGACAGTGATGAACCACTTCTTGAGAATCCGGAATCTTATCGTCGTTTGGTAGGAAAGTTGATGTATCTCACAATTACAAGACCGGATATCACTTACGCAGTGAACCGTCTTTGTCAATATACATCAGCTCCTAAACCTTCACATCACCGAGCTGCTCTTAAGGTACTTCATTACCTGAAAGGAACAATTGGTCTTGGTCTATTCTATTCAGCCGATTCAGACCTTGTTCTTAAAGCTTTCACTGATGCTGATTGGGCTTCCTGTACTGACACAAGACGTTCCACTTCGGGATACTGCATGTTCCTTGGCACCTCACTCATTTCTTGGAAGACTAAGAAACAACCAACTGTGTCTCATTCATCCACAGAATCTGAATACAGAGCGATGAACTTTGCTAGCAGAGAGGTACAGTGGTTAGTCTTCTTACTCACCGAGTTGTTAGTCCCTCAACATAAGCCCGTTGCTTTCTACTGTGATTCTACTTCAGCGATGAGTATTGCTACGAATCCAGTATATCATGAACGGACTAAACATGTGGAATCAGATTGTCATCAGATCCGGGAACGCATTGAACGTGGACTGATCAAGCCACTTCATGTTCGTACTGATAAGCAGTTAGCTGATGCATTCACTAAACCGCTTCATCCAGCTCAGTTCAACAAGCTTATGGGCAAGATGTCTCTCCTTTCTATATATTCGCCACTTTGAGGGGGATATTAATATCTCTGGTTTATGTAAACCGAAATATGGTTTGATGTAAACCAAAGTCTTCTTGTATATAAGAGACTCAATTGTAAATGTTAACCATAACGATGAATAACATAATTTTTCACCGACTCTTTCTCTCTCGTCTTCTTCCTTCTAACAAAGGCTTTCTTTTTCATGTCTTAGATTCTAAAGTTCTAACACAAACTAGGTCTTGTTCATCTTCTTCAGATTCATACCAAATGGTTCAAAACTTGCGAATCGTTCTCCTGCATATATTCTCTCTTTCACCTTCTCTTTGTTCTTTGCGCTTTATCAATTTCAACGTGATCATCATGGAGTCATCCTCATCCACCTCGACCTCGTTGGAACTGACAATTTCACGACCGGGATGGTGTTTTGTATCCTTATCCGTGAAGGGGCCGACTAACATTTTGATCGCCGGGATCAGTACCTGCGATGGTGGCAGGGGCGACAGTTGAAAGGAGCCTTCGTCAAGGGACGTCTAGGGAAATGACGATTGATCAGGATGAATTTACTTTTAATTATGTTTACATGTTTTTTTATTTGATCAAAGTAAAGTTTTTTTTTTAAAATATATACAAACAGATTAATCAGCATTATTTTAAGGGTAAAAGTGGATTTCTATTATCATAAATCCTAATGAGACAATGTTTAGTGAGAAAGTATTATTGGAACAATAGATGAGTTTTTTTTGTCTTATATTTCTAATTTTTCCATTTTTAAATCATGTTAGACCCTCACATTAGGTGTAATTTTTACGCTTTCAAAATTTAAATCTTTAGGGATAAAATCTTGACTAGTAAAAAAATGACAATATAAAAAGTTGACTAGTATCATTGTTCGCAGATTATATGAAAAACAATTTGTTTTCTTACAACTATAAATAGTCTATGATTCCTCAATTTTGGCCACACAAACAATTCAAATCACAAAAAGAAACAAAATTAACAGACATGGAGAAAGCTTATTTAATATTCATCAATTTCTACTATTGAAAATCTTACGTTCAGTTACATTTATCGCCATCGTTATTTCATCATCCATATTATAGATCATCATGATTATATATGTTATATTCAGATTTTGGCATTACAATGTTGCAAAAAATGTCTCTGATCCGAAATGTTGAATTCTCAAGTGTGTGAACAACAAGTGTTTATGCGCTAACGAAAGACATGCGGCTATACCCCTGGTTAGAGTCAACAAGCGTGCATTGACTATTGCAAATCACTAGCCCACTAGGACAAAAAGTTTATGTTTGGACCAAAAGACCTTTGTTACTGTGGCTAATAATAATAAATTTAAGTACGAAAATATTGTAAAAGTATACGGCAAATCGTAACATATTTGTGATATTATTACCCATATTTGTGATATTTTTGCATATCTTGATATCAAGTTTACTGCATAGTAAAAGAATTTATTCGATTATTTTTTCTACAAAACCAAGAACCTCCCATCCCGTGAGATTTTTGTTTGGAAAAATCAGCAACTTACCAATTTCACGGGATCGGAATCCTCGCCGCTGATGCTGATGGTCATAGATAGCGTTGATTGTACTGTACATGAGCGGAGTTCGTTCCGATGGCCTTGGAAGCATCCACTACATTGGTCGACGTACCATTTATGTTAGATCAGTGTCATCAAACTTTTAAATTTCAATTTTCTAAGTAGGTATTTTCACACTTCTTTTGAAATATATAATTTAGGTGTAATATCTTGTTACATAACAAAAATATGATACTTTTTCTGATTAAAAATCCATGCAAACAGAGATTTTCCACGGCGAGCTTTTGCATTTTGAAATTTCAAGAAACGCTTTAAACGATGCTGTGGATGCATTTTTCCGCATATCTTTATTATTTGGATGATGTTTAGCTCCTCCTCATTTGATGTTTAACAATAGAAAAAAATAATAATCAGTAAATACATTGACCCAATAAAAACCCTTAGGCCATCAAGCTAGCTAGGGACTTTAATCAGTAGGTTTAATTTTATGCAATTTCAAGATAATAAATATTTAGGTATTGAATCTTGTTTCATAGAAATTAAGTATGATATTTTTGTTATAGATTTTTTTCCTAAATCCATAACAAAATTTATAAGTTTTATAAAAGGACAAAGAAAGTATGATATTCACTAAAAATTAATGCAAAGTTGACTATTAATTAAAACATTGACAAATTTTTTGTTTTTGACTAAACATAACCAAAAATGAAAATTGACTAGTATAATTATTTGCAGATTATATTGGTGGTGATAAGGAAAACTAATTGGTTTTTGCAATTATAAACTAGTGTCCAGTTCCTCAATTTTAGTGACACAAACAACTCAAAATCAACAAAATACAAACTCATTCAACAAAAATGGAGAAAACTTCTTTGATATTCATTGGTCTTCTACTATTGTTCACATGTAAGATGTTTTAAAATGTTATATTTGATTATATCCATCACCATCGTCATTTTCATCATCGATATTATTATATATCATCATATAACATATTAAATCTCACAGATACTCAAGTTTTGGCACAACAGTCTTGCAAAACTGTCTCCGATTGTACTAAAATGAAATGTGAAATTCTCGAGTGTGTGGAAAACAAGTGTGGATGTGCTAACGAAAGACGTGTGGGCTTACCCCTTACTAAAGATATGCGTCAAGCTTGCATTGACTATTGCAAGTTAATAGGTGAAGTAGTTAATACTTGGAGTGAAGATCTTTGTTACTGTCGCAAACCTCCGATGTAATACTAACAAATTTAAATATGAAAGTATTATATAATATGTAGCAAATCCTATATATGTAATATTTTATATTTTTTTACTCCGAATAAAATAATAATATTTTATAAAACAAGCAGTTTCAATTTTTAATTATTATTTTCTACTAAATTATTTTTTGATTTTATATTAATGAATTATTTATGAGTTATTTGTTTACAATAAAATGTAGTTATTTACTGATATCTGTTTTAGATATGAATAGTTTTCGATCATTCTCATGCCTTAGGTCTTTGAATTTTTGAAATTAGTATTCGTCCATAACCATTTAGTTTAGTTGAATATAATAGTTGTTCTTCCATGGTCTTCTTTGATTTGTATTTGTAAGGTTAACTTCTTGTGATATAGAGTTTTAGTTTTAATCTTTTTTGAAAGAAGATTAGGTGTGTAGGATTTAGATTTTCATCTTTATTTTCATGGGGTTAATTCTTCGCGCGTCTATCTTCATTTACAAGTTTATGGTTTTAGGTCCTCTAATCTCGGCAATATCTCTCTGATTTACCTGGTATTCTCTAGAGCTTCATACTTGGCCTTTGTATTTATCATTAATTTCTCGTAATCGTTTGAACAATAATTTCTTATTTACCAAGCTTTTCGCAAGCCAACTCCATAGAAATTTCTTTTATCTGCCGGCTATTATACTCTTTTTAATAGTTATTTTGAATAAAGTTTAATCAATGCTAAAAAAAAGTCTGAAGTTTTGAAATGCGAGCTCTTTTAGCTATTTCTAGTCTAAATTATCTAGTTTTTTTTTTGTGATGAACATTTAATCTTTAAACAATCTAAAAAACTACTCCAATAAGTAAAGTTTTAAAAATAGTTAAACAGATATCAATATTGTCGGACTAAAAAAAAAAGTTTAGATGGAGTTGAAATTTTTTTTCCCCACTTGGTGCTTTACTCTCAATCATTCGCCATTCTTCGGCTCATAACTCTCTCTCCATCCCTTTTTTGTTTTGACATCCTCTCTCCATCCAATTAAGATTTTCTTTTAATGCTTTGAAAAGAAAATCTAAATACGCGAAGAAATAAAAATTATATTCTACTTTACAAATGTGTGTATATTTGTATATCCAAGGACATAGAGGGAGAGAAAGGGAGAGAGAGTGTTTCAGTACATGTGATCGTGAGAAAAATAAACAAAAGTAAACAAAGGGGAAACAAAGTCCTTTAAGGTTTCCATTTTTTTCCTCCAATGTCTTCTACTCTTCCTCTGCTAGAGTTTCGATATTTTAGGTTCTTATTTTTTTGTCAAAAAAGTTTTGATTTTTGAGCAAAATTGATATTTTCATTCCTTCCGCTCTTGCGCAAAATTAGTATGCTCGTGATTCTGCTAAAAACTAATGGGTGAAATAGAAAGTTTGTTTCTTTTAATCTATAAACAGTTGGATGATCACGGTTAAGCTTCTTCGAGATTGATATTAGGGTTTTTTTTTTAATTCTGCTTTCCAATTTCAGTTTAGTTTTGCGTTTGATTATTCTTATTCAACTCCTCGGAATTAGCTGTAGCTGCATGGAATGTGTATGCATCTATAGGACTTGGTGGCAACGTTGATGATGATGATGAGCTATCCCAAATTAGACTTTTGATTAGGGTTTAAACTCAGCAGAATCAATGTTTAAGGTTTATAGCGATTGACTTAGTCCATGTGGTGAATTTTTTGAAATTGTTAGTTGCTTCTCATATTGCTACTGGATTTTGTCATCCTCTGTTCTTGAAAATTTGTATCCAACCTAGAAATGATTGATTTTTTGGTGCATTGTAATTTCTTGCTCATCTCTATTCGAATCAACCAGAACAATTGAATTCATATTTTGATAATCTGCCTACATCAGGTTTGTAAAAAGTAAATCTAAGTGCAGGTTTAAGTTGATACTTGAGCAAAGAACATCCCTGGAACTTTCTCAAGACCTGACAATGTCCATGCTTCAAATGATGCCTTCCTCTTTTCCAGCTCTCTGTCTCTTCCTCCACACCATAATTGTATGTACCCAAAACTGGTTCCTGAGTAGCCTAAGCCGTCGTTTAATCGTCAGTACATTTGCATTATGTTCTATGCTTTGTCCCTTGCAGTCAATCCTAGAGAAAACTATCATCATCAGTCTGTTGATGAAATAGCTTCCGGGTTAAACCATTTCAATGGAGGCTTTGACAGTGTGCTCAATGATCATCGTGACAACATGCTTCCTGATGATGAGGAACATCTTTTTGCTGGTCTAATGGACGATTTAAACTTAACTGCATTGCCAGCTACATTGGATGACTTGAAAGATTGTGATTTGTTTGGTAGCGGATGAGGTTGGAGACTGACTCACATGACAAGGGCTTCCCAAGAATGACTTTTTCTGATTCTAAAATTGACAATGGTATGTTCCAAAGTGGAGTGGGATCGCTTGCTCGCAAACATTCCTATGGTGAACACCCTTCAAGGACTCTGTTTGTTCGGAATATCAACAGCAACGTCGAGGATTCAGAACTGATAGCTCTTTTTGAGGTAATTTTGAGGATACAAAATGCAGAATTGGAGGTTTTGTTTGCTGAAAGATTGGATCTTTATGTTTGTGTTTTTTTTCCTGTTCTTGGCAGCAATATGGAGATATCCGAACTATGTATACAGCCTGCAAACACAGGGTTTGTAATGATCTCTTTTTACGATATATGTGCTTCTCGAGCAGCTATGCGTTTGTTACAAAGCAATCTGCTCAAAAGGAGGAGGGAGGAAACTTAACATACATTTCTCAATCCCCAAGGTTTGACATCCCCTGCATTTCTATTCTTTTTTTTTTTTTTTTTTACTTTTTCATTCTCTTTATGTTCTTATTTATGTTATTAAAACAGGATAATCCATCTGAGATAGATGTTAATCAAGGAACTCTTGTGGTTTTCAACTTGGGTCCATCAGTTACCAACAGAGACCTCGAAAACATATTTGGAGCTTATGGCGAGATGAAGGAGGTGATGCATTGCTTTCTGTTGTTTCGTTTAGGTTTCTCGCAAGACCTGCATAATGGTTAACGTTTGTGTAAGTTATTTCTCCTGACAAAGCAGATACGGGAAACACCAAATAAGAGGCATCACAAATTTGTTGAATTTTTTAACGATAGATCCGCTGATGCAGCTCTCAAAGCTTTGAACAGGACTGACATTTCTGGAAAGCGTATAAAGCTTGAACATAGTTGTCCTGGAGGTGTTCGTCGAAAGTGAGTTTATTTATACTAACGAGATTGACTGAAGAAACTGTGGACTTATTTTCTGTTTTCTTCAGCATGACGTTGCAGATGAGTTTGGAGTTTGAGAATGATGATTCTCGTAGCTACCTGAATCTCTTTGATTCGCCTTTAGCCAGATCTCACGCAGGGAATCAATGGGGTAACAACCTTATTGATCATAGCCCTATACAAAGTCTCAGCAGGTCTCCAATAGATGGAAACTTGAGCCCATCAAACATCTGTTTTTTCAGAACTTTCAACGAAAGCCGCATCGATGAGCAATGACCAAGGAAGAAGGGGTAGCCACTTGGATCATCTGTTTTCAAGTGGCAGCAGCTATAATAATAATGCAAGCCACAAAGTTCTGCTTTTCAGCAAACATAGTCTTATGGTTTTGCTTCCTCGTTTGGTTCTTTGAACTTAAATCCCGGTCGTGTGGATTCATTATCTAGACCAGAGTTTTTGTGGGGAAGTCCTATAGTTCTTCAGTTTGGTCTATTAATCTGTTCTCTTTAAACGGAAAAGCTCACAGGCTTCCCTACTCGGCTCAAAACAAGTCCACCCTCGAGCACCATCATGTTGGCTATGTGCTGTTTGGATTCTTTCTGAGGTCGCCTGAAACTTCAACAATTGGTTTAACTTTCCAAGGAGCAAGTGGTAATGTAGCTCAAAGAAAAATGCGTTAATAAGTGAAGATTTTGACTCATTATAACCTGTGTTTACTGATCTTTATAGAGTCTTTTGAGTCTTTGTGAAGTCGTTTCAGGTAACTAGGACGCTTAAGGCGATGGTTTGGAGCAACTGGAGCTTTTGGTGCAAAAAGGAGCTGAAGCTGAGCAAAAGAGGCCAATTTACACGAAGTTGGATCATTCTTGGTCGAGAGCACCTGCTTCCGATTTCACCCTTTCGTGGAGCACCTGCTCCAACCGCCTGGAGAAAAATAAGGAAATCGACTTTTACATAATTTAGGGATCAGAAAGAGAATAAAAAGTCCAAAGCCGCCTCAGAAACAAACCACGTTTTTACAGACTTTCTTCTACGCTTTTTTTTATAATTTTTCTGAACCAGAGAGTTTTTACTTGTAAGCTTTTGGGAGAAGAAATCTGCTACAGTTTGAGAAGAATTCTGAACTCTATATTACTTCTGCGATTTTATTCCATGAATTCTTTTTCATCTGTTGCAGTGTTTCCTTTCTCCATGTCTGAGTAGATCTCTTAGCTAGATTAAAGTTTTTAAAGGATTTCATGAGCTAGAGAATTGGATGCAAATAGGGTTTAAAATCGATTGTCTTCACCTTTGTTAGACTTAACGTTTAGGTTGAACTGGCCATTCAATTTACGATCTTAGGTTAATCTATTCATCAAAAGTGTAATAGGTTGCTAGAATACACTTTGGTGAGCAATTTGTCCTTAGCCAACAACAGTTGAAGTTAAGCCAAATCGTAAACAGATCAAACCTGCTCGTTAA